TTTTTGTCGTTGAAAGCATCTGTTTTGGACGCGGGCGTGGAAAAACTGGACCGGTGCCCAGCTGGTAGATCGTGGTTTCGTGCCGAAAAGGACGGTGGTTCGGTTGAGACACAAATCGTTTCTTGGAAAGAGGACGTAGCCACGTGGCTGATCCTTCTGGTACGCGTGCCTGGTCCTTTTGGCCTTAAAGATTTATTGACACTGGATTGTCCCCTGTACCGGCGTGGAACAAAACAGGATGAAGAATTCAAATTAGATCACTATCGACAGGGGCTGCTTTTTTTTTGACTTTTCCTGCCAATTACGCGATATACATACATATTTAGATTTACTCTTTCGACGAAAGCATTTCAAAACAAATGTGCTAATGTTTCATTGGCGTCCACATGTTTACGGACATTGTTCAATTGTTAATTACAGTGAGTTACAGTGTCAAAACGTAAATTCGTGCATACGCGTCGTATTAAAAGGGACACTGGCCTCACACGAGAAATCGTCCCTCCCAGAATTTCCCCGTGGGACGTTGTAAAAGAGAACCCAACTCGAGGAACAAGGTGTATAATAGGACCTTTAAACTTTAAAGGGACCGTAGAACAGCTGACTCTTCCAAAGTTGTAGCATTTATTCCGTTTGATAAATTTCCGAACGCCTTTGATAGATTTTTATACAAAAGGAATAAGGGAAAGGTATGGTGTCTTGGCAGAAAGTTGTTGAGAAAACTTCAGGAGCTCGATCTACGATTTTGCAAATACTCGTTTACAAGAGCGAGCGTTTCCTTCTAAATTTAAAATTGTCTCCGATCTTTTTCCCTTTGTATCGCGCGAGTATCCATAAATCACGTTGCTCTGCGGAGAGAATTGTCAAGTTCCTCGTCGAATAGTTTCGAGAAGAAGAAGAGAAGAAAGTTCAGGCAATCCGTGAAAGTTCGAAAAGCTTCATTTATCGGATCGAGTTTCATCAAGTACGGATGCACGTTTATCGGACACTCTTTCAATGAGGAATATTTACGAGTACATTCGCGCAGAATTTTTCGAAATTTTACCAGCAGTTTAACGAAACACAATCGTCTCTGCAAATTTCCCTTGACGGATAGATATGCTTCGTTGATTCGCCGAACGAGAAAGCGCAGTCGAAATGAAAAAAGAAAAAAAAAAACGAAACGATCTGTTTCCCAGATTATAAGAGGCCAATGGTCCATGACTAATTGCCGAACGTGGGAAAACGGGAGTTGATGATCGATATTTTTCGCGAGGGTGGAAATAGTTCAGGAACTACCTGGAACACTTTTTAACAAAACTGGAGTACTTTTTTTTCGTCGCATTCCCACGGATGTGAAAAATTTCGATCGATAGGCAGATAGTTAAAACGATCGTAAATATCCTCCTGCCAGCAATTAACGCTGATTATCGTGGATTTTATTACGACATCTGCTGTGCAAGATGTGATATCCAAATAACTAAACGAAGGGGGTGTGTCCAACGTTTGATGTTACTTTACCTGAAATTGTTATGAAATACGATCATTTTCCGGTTTTATTTTACGTCTCGAACGACACTTTATATGTGAACAAAAAATGGCAAAAAAAATCTAACTTTTATAGAACAGAAAATTCTTTCTAAAGGGATGACACACGAGAGATAGAAAATTTATGTATATTATTTATAATTTTATTGTTATTATTATTATTATTATTATTATTATTACTGTATATATTATTTTATCCATGTAAATTTATTTATGATCCAATTAATTTTGCCTTCGAGGGTTATCGAAAATTATCGAGCAGTTTCACGATTTAAAAAATTCAAATCGATTTTCGATTCACACGAACGTGCTACGCGGATGGATATCGAAGTTTGACAAGTAAACGAGATAATTGGGGTGGGCGTAACCGTGACGGAACACGAAGGGTGGACGAAACATTGAATTGTTTCCTAAAGCGGGATAATTAACGAAAACAGTTTCCCAGCGCCATATGTAAGAAAGTTGGTAGATCGTACGGGATTCGAGAATGTTTATTTCGACGAAACACGAAACAGTGGGACGTAATATCGTGAACGTTCGGCAACGTGCTCTTAAAATGAGAAAGCAAGTAACGAGACGTTGCAATCGATTGAATTTCAAGATCGCGACAAGTGAAGTTATCTTCAGATAGATCTGTTTATCTCGAATAAATACGATATAATATAGAGATATATTTATTACATTAATATATAATAGTTTCACTCGATACTTTTGTTTATTATCTCAGTATCCTCTTCTTCTCCTGTACCGTACAACTAGAGATATAATTGCAGCAAGGACAATAAGACCTCCGATAATTCCTCCCACTATGACTCCAACATTACTTTCGCTTGTATCGTCATTGTCGACACAATTCACTGGAAAAAGGTATGTATCTTTAGCATCTTGTTGCACGGCGTTATGTCAATTTTCTATGAACAACGATCGATTTCTATTATTAACGCCAGAACTATCAAAATGATCGAAATGACCAATTTGTAATTTTTGTTCGATATTTTATCGACGTGAAACAGCGTATTTTCAGAGATTTAAAAATTTTTTCCGTAAAATATACAGATAAAAACATGCTCCATTGTATTATAAATTTTCTCTATTTTTTTATTTTTTTTTTTTTTTTTTAGAGACATCGAAATCAAAGAAATTTTTCGAATCAATCAAATTTCATGCTCTAATCGTCGATAGTTCCAGTGTTAAAACGATAAAATTGACGATCGTTTTACCTGATTGCGAAGTGATGATCTGGTTGGTATTAAACGCTATGAAAGTAACGTTAGTGATGACTACTTTGGCGTCTTTGGCAGTCAGCGAGGTATTGCGAAAACATTTATAGACATTGTTCAGAGGAGTGGAGAATTCATGGAGATTCTCCGTGCTAGCGTTGTACGTTTTCTCTAAATTGCGATTTGTTAACAGATTTATATTTATTAGAAATAATGTAAAACTGTTATTTCTGCAAATAATGTAAAACTTTATATTCGTATTTTCGAAATCTTACCCTTATGATTAGGAAAATTATGGTCGTCTAGATAAATAGACACATTCACAGAGCGAATGAAATAGTTTGAATCATTTTTCTCAAAGTTCACCGTGACCGTATTGTTTTCTTTACTTTCATTCACGATCCAATTTAATTTCATCATCGACCATTTGTCCTCGCACTCGCCAGTTACATTCGCATTATTCGGCACGTGCAAAGGTCTTTTTTCGTCCTAAAGCGTATAAGATTAATTTAATAACAAGCATAAATATCGTTTACATTCAAGTATATGTACATGAGAGATGAGAATAGATCAGATTCGATACGTACTTTATTTTCTGTGGTTTTGTAAGGCACTTCTATAAAAATCGACATGTTTGCTGCAATGCAAGTTACGTCCGATGTAGAATTTACGTAATAATTATAGTGTACATTAGATTTAGGTGTAGATGTAGGTTCAGGTGTAGATGTAGGTTTGGATTCTGTTGTAGTTGTTGACTCCGGCTTGGAACACTCCGTCACTAAAAATCGAGAACACCCTTACTGCACTTGGAAGAATTTGCAAATTTATTGGTAATAAATGAGCTGAATGGTCAAAGCTGGTTAACTTACCATTTGCTGAATATATATTTTCTTCGGTATAGAATGCGATAAATGTAACGTCGGTTATTGTTAGACGAATGTCGCCAAGCTCTATGCCGGAAATAGAATTTGAACAATGATAAATTCCGTTGGTCACAGCTGCCGAAAACAGATCGATGCCAGTATACGACGCGCCATTTATTTTGTTCTTATCTAAAATTATTAGAAAACGCGTCAGTTAATCTATCTATTTCCTCAAAAATATATATAAATGATTCTCAAACGTACCATCAGCGCCTTCGTCTGAATAGATAGTAGCTGCTATTTGGGAAACGAAGAAGTGGGTCTTATTTCGACCGATATGAAATGTAATATTATTCTTTACGTTATTCGCCATTTGGCTAACTGGCCAGCTTAATACCATCTGAGAGTATTTATCAGCACAAATACCGGTTGCGGTAGCACTAGCTGGAACATCTAATTTTATCTGTAATATGGACAGAAATCTAAGATTTGATATCATTGCAGAACGAAGTTATACATGACAGTATTTTAGGACATTACTTCCTTATTTTCCTTGTGCAAAACCGCAGTAATCGACAGGTTCGCCAAAGTACAGGGAACGCCCATATCCTTTTCCCTTATGACATAGTTGAAGTCATCTTCGTAAAGAATACTTCTACAATCAATCACTGGAAAATTCAAATTCAGCTCGTTTTTATTTTTAACCTTTCATATTCGTTTCGTAATCGTCCAATGATCGTGCAATCGATCCCCTTATTAATCATTTCGAAGCCTCGTGCGAGTTACGTCGCAGCTGGCAACAAATTATTTTACCTTTCTTCGAGGCGAAATCTTTCTCGGCGTCAAACGCGACCAAGAGAACGTCGCTTATGGTTATGTTGCCGCTGATGCTCGTGATGTTAGTTTGTTTTGGACAACTATGGATGCCATTTACGACAGGTGCCGGAAACAGAGAAGCATCGTATCTGTCTATCGAAATTAGGTCACCTACTCCTAGACAGATTTATCACGTTTCAACATGAGCAACAGAAAAACCACGTATTTTTTTAAATTTAATGGTACAATTACTCAATGGCACGTACTCTCGACATCCTTAAAATTTTCCTCGTCTGTGAAAATCTCGACCCTAATATTATACAGCTCGCTAGTCTTTTCCTTTTTGACGAAAATAAGCGAAATTTTATTTTCTTTCTTGTTCGCCGAAGGCCAAGTTAATGTCATCGTGGCGATGTTACTGTCACAAACTCCGCCGACATTAATTTTGTACTTTGAAAGGTCTATGTTTGCAATCGCCGTCTAAAATGTGCCATTAATTTATATTCAAGATATTAATATTCTGAAGATCCTAATTTAAGAGATGTTCTTTCTTTTTTTTTCCTTTTATTTTCTTCTCTCGAAACTTACTTCCGATTTTTTCGTTTTGAACGGTACTGTCACAAGAATTGACATCCTCGCCATTATACAATTGTTGTTATTCGCGTCCTTTAAAACGTAAGGGAACGTTTCACTTTTCTGCTGTCCTTTAGAGCAGTGCGTGTCTGCAAATTCATAAACGTTTTTAATCGTCAGATTTTTAAATTTTCGTTCTTTCTCTTTCTCCTTTTTAAGCTCAAGATTATTAAAGTGGAATAAATACGTCGATTCATTAAAAAGGCATCAAGTTACTTTCATATAGAATCTATGATATTATTCGTTATTATTGTGTTATCTCTCCAGACTTGTTACGCAACAAAATTATTCTATTATCATTTAATTATTTCATTATTTATTAACGGAATGGATATAACATTGTAATTATAATTTACCTTGACGCGATGTAATGTCATCATTTCTGTTGAATGCAATTAAAGAAACATTTTTCATAATTACTTCCCCGTCTCCGACCTTCAATGTCGTTTCTTCGCACCGATGAATCCCATTTTCAACGGGCGCGATAAATAAACGAAGATCGATATCTGATGTCGCTCTAAACCATTGTTTCTTGTCTAAAGTACATATTTGTGGAAAATTACGAAATTACGATATGTGACCTAAAAAATATATATATATATATGTACAACACTAAATTGTACTTTACCTATAGCATTCTCGACATTTTTCTCATCTCGGTAAATATTAAGATCAATGGAAAAAAGCGAGAAATTTGTGTGATCGTTGATGAATGTAAATTTAATTGAGTTGTTTTCTTTATCATTTCCGTTCCAAGTTATATTCATATATGATATTACAGCTGAACAATGACCATTTATTATTACATTACTATTTGGAACTACCAAAGGTTTCTGTTCGTCCTGCAAGAATCATATTGATTTAGAATAACAGGCAGTACAAGTACAATATTTTGTAGTTAGATCATGCCTTTTCCTTCGTTTTATGTGGAACATTGATCTCAATGATCATATTTGCCAAAATGCACGGCTTTGTTGTCACGCTGTTTAGAACGTACGAAAAGTTAGGTTTCTCTTTAGTGCCAAACATCGCAATTTGATTTTCCGATCTTGTCGCTAACTCTGAACCATTGATGGCGTGAAGCAATGCTAAAATGTTTCATAACGCGATACACATTAAACCGTATTTAATTTTATATAGATTTATAGACGTTCACATAAAAATTGCCGTGTAAAAATTACACTTCCATTTTAGATTCAATAGAAATTGCAAAACTATTGCGATATTTCATTGCATGAACTCACCGATAACGATCAACGTATGTACAAATAAAAATTTCAAATGACGTCGATTCATGTTGCCTTTTCACAGTTCACACGCACTGGCATTCAACTTTGACAACTTTCAACTCTGACAGCAATTATTCACGATTGGTATAAATATTCGGCAGGGTAATCCGATTTTGCAGTAAAAAGAGGTCGACAATAAGGGAAATTCTATATGCTGGTTCATATAAAGGAAAGCTTACCCCTACTCTTAAACACACACGTTATCGGTTGTCCTCCGATAGAACGAGATAATAGACAGATAGGTTTATCTTTTATTCGATACCTGCGTCGATAACGTGTTTTCTTACAATTTATTGTGGCTATCGCGTTCTTCGTAAGAATAAATAATAAAACCGAATCCGTGTGCTTTGTCTTCTAGTTTCGCCGAGATGTTTCACGACGCACATTACTGATTACTTAAATTAAATTAAATTAAATTAAATTAAATTAAATTTTCTCGACGTTGGTTGGTACGTCTTGCGTAGGAAACGTTAGCCGATCGATACTGATGATAAAAGCTGATTATCCAGCTGCTGTTTGCACCGTCATTGCGGCGAAAAGAAAAAGAAAGAATTTAATAACGATTGAAATGTCGTCGTAAATTAATTCACGAACAGATTTCAACTAAACGAAAACTTCAAAGTCGAATAATCGCGGAACAATTAACGATAAGTCAAGTAATCGCGTATGTGCATCTGCCTCGTGAGCCATTTCCGGAATATCGATTGCAACCGGTTTCGTTTCAGCTTACGTCACGATCGTTATTATCGATTTGTGCGTGTACAGTGGTTAACCGTAAGCACCATTGAACGCCACAACGCTCTCAACTGCCCACCGATTTTTGTAGTTGGCGGGTGGTTGCGATTTCGGTCGGACGCGAACCCTCTTCGTGTACTCGGACGTGGGCGTAAGAAGCGAGAGAAATTGAAAAAGAGCGAGGGCAAGCGTGACAAAAATTGCACAGGATGTGGTTGCACGCGCCCACGACAATCCGCATTAACCGTGTTATTAAACGCAAACGCAACCCTTCGCTCTCTTTCTTGCTCGTTATTGTTCCCGGCAGCTGCCTAATTCACGGTTTCGCCTGATTTTCCTCCCTTCCCTCTCTTTCCCTCTCCTCTCTCTTAAATTTCATCGGCAAACCAGCAACTTCTATCAAGTCGGTTGCATTGTTATACGTAGGTATATTATAATTACGAACTTCAATGACCGAATATTATTCGAACGAATAATGAAAAAAGCATTCGTCGTTTATTTTACCCATCGTTTTCTGTGCGGTGTATTTCTTTTTCTTTTTCTTTTTTTTGTTTTTTTTTTACAGGAAAATCTTACACGTCCGTACAATTTTATCATTCAGTGTCCAATATTATTTTCTTTCTTCTATTTCTGCGATATCGTTCAAACTCCGCTGTTATCTCATAATCCGATGATTTTCTTTTTCGTCAGGAATTTGTTCCGAGATTGGCGAATCGATCAAAATTCGACATAGTTCTGATGATTTTACAGACGTTCTCGCGAGTGTATAGAGAGGGTAAAGGACAATATTAGCTTTTTTTTGTAAGTAGAATCAATCGGAAAAATTTTTGAAGCGATCACTAGCGATACTAATTACCATCACCTTGAATATATCGGGTCAAATTAAAATACGTAGATTAAGACACATTGTTTCCGATATTCTCTTATCGACTTCGTTAACTGACCAAAGATTAATTTTCCGCGCAAGATGAGGTCATTCTTATTTTTTTTTTCGTATTTATCACGATTCGCGACGATTCGCTGAAAACGATCCCAGATGTCAGTCGCCTCGCCTCCCGTCGCTCTTCTTCGAATCCCAAACGAAGAAAGGGAAACCGATCTGCTCTTTTCACAGTGATGTTTGCCCATCGATGAACGACGTATCCTTTCTAATGGATCGTAAAGCAGCAAAAAGGAGCAAAAAGAACGACCGTTGTGCATTGTGACCGCTGACCGTAATTCTCGTTCCGGCGATTTTCCAAATTTGCCGAGAAATCACCGTTTTGCGGGGGAGCTGTTCGGGCATGGTCATTTTTAAGTCATTCAACGTGCAGAAATCGTTACCGCGTGTTTTTCTGCAAATTACAACGTGACTAATCGTGATCTCTGAGATCGAAGGTTAAAAAAGTACACAAGACGTGTCGACTATATCGCGATGCTTTTATTCGACAATTTCAATGCACATTCGGCTTTCCTTTCGTGCGAGCATCGAATGCATCAAGAACCGCGTCGAAACGAGTGAAACTGTAAGAAAAAGTGGAGTTGCAAACCATCCATCTAGCTTTCATTAATTTTCTGAGAAAAGAACGTGAAAGTATATAAAATTTCTTCCTGACACTATTACTTTTCAGACTTTCGAATGTTTCGACATTATTATTTGTCCATTTGTCGATGACCGTTCAAACAGTTTTTAACACTTTCCTGGCGGGATATTTGAAATGACAGTCGCGCGTAAGGAATATTATTTTTACATATGCGTCGCAAATTTTTGTTACTGTAGCATTACAATTTTATTCATGTACTATGACAATCGAACCCTGACCGATACGACTGACCTCAGACTTTCTTTGAATTACTTAAACAGACATTGACCTACTTAAAAGATACAGTTGTTCTTGACAAAGTTGATATTAAAAGTTGATTTAAGTTTGAGCAGAGGCACGATTGCACATAAACCTATTAATTTATTTTAATCAGCATTTAAACTATAGCGATTTATACGTAGAATATTTCGATGCAGTTGTTCTGCAAATATTTTCATTTACATTTATTTATGTCAATATTTTTGGACGATCAAAATCAAGTATGTGTACGCTGTAGGTGACACATCCAACCTTCTGAAACAAATCCTAACGATTTATACAGGCCGCAGAATTTGTTTCATTGGCGTTCACAAAACGCAGGATGCAACGTGCCGATCGAACCGATACGAATCTGCAGAATAATATACGGCTAGCCGTCCGAGGTTTATCTAGCAATCGTCATCTGGCGGCGACTCTTTTTTTTCTCTTGAGATCGCCATTTCCTGTGGAGTTGTTATCCACATTATTTGAAATTTGAACAAATCGATCTTATCGATCGACATTGCTCGATCGACCATCTGTCAAGGACACGCTTCCAAGGGTTGCTAACCCCTTTCTTGGTTCACCGTCGGACTTTTCACGGACGGACGATTGCCCACAATGCAATCGCGAAAGGTGCACGAACAACACGGGGATGAACGGATACATCGATAGCTCGATGCGTGACACGAATTTCTTACCTTATCGCGCGTTTTCTCGAGTGCCACCGAGCGGGGCACAGCAATTCTTTGTCGATTATCCGTGACTATCTGCGACTATCTGACCGTTGTTCTCGAAACGGTACGATAAAATTGAAACATTTTCTTATTGTAATTTTTACACACTCGAACCCGAATCAATAATCAACAGGATAGAGCCACAGTAATTGTCGAATGTTTTATTCGCCGAGATTCTTTTCTGATTTTTTATACCTTAGTATTTTCGTTACCGTTATTACATTTATCATTCAATTTATTTTAAATTATAGTAGATTAAATTTTTACATTTTAGAAATATTAAATATTTCATATGTCAATAATTTTAAGCTTATCTGTATAATTTCATCTTTTTCAGTAAAAATTCCAATATACGTAATTCACGGATGATTATTAAAAGCTCGTGTTGAAGCTTCTATTTTTGCTTCAATAATTTTGCCTTCAGTTGTGTTAAAATTAGGAAGATATGGAATATTGCGAATTATACATGTAATGAATTTTATTTTATATTTAACAATAATTAATTAATGTGGAATATTATTTTTAAGAATTATACGTTTGTATCAGTTAGATATAAAATTAATTGTTCCTAATTATTTCTTCAGTTGTTCGTATAGGTATCACGCCAATAAGAATAACATTAATAACAAAGTTAAGATTACACAGAAGATATTTTATAATAATTCTAATAATTAGACATTTATTTGGATTTATTTCTCCTGGATTGTTTTATTTCATTAATTTCATTTATAATCAAACTAGTGGACGATTGATTTTTAATAAAAATAATTGTGAGAAAGGAGAATTAGTGGGAGGGGGAGAGAGGTATCGTTTAATCGCGACGATCTGCTCCAGATCGCGATACGACGTTTAACTCGGAGCGTGAACGCGCGTTGCTGTGGTCGATGCCACGGTGACGAAAGCGAGAGGAAGTTAAATTAACGAGCGGAGGTTCGCACGGAGCGGACGGCTCGTTGCAGGAGGGAAGGCAGCCCGCGTATCGCGGATATGCAAATTCGTAATAACGCGGTTTACGCTCGCGTATTACCGCGCGCCGCGGCGATCCTCGACGAGCGGCGTGCTCGTTGAAATTTACCGGAACGAAAAGCCGCATCAGATAACCGCTATTACATTACAGCCCTCATTTTTCTTCCTTGCTACGATGAATTCGTATCACAGTCCCTGTACGCACGTCCGTTCTGCTCCCCCGACCGATTGTCCCCGAGCTTCAGAGCTTGTCAGACTCGAGCAACTATGTCGGAGATTAGTCTCCGGCTTGGTTCAACTACAGAGTCGCAGACAGAGTTCGAATAACGAATAAAATACTGTCAAATTTATTCGTAGATAACGAATAACGATTTTACTCGAGAAAGAATTATTCTTCATTATTTACGATATAACAATTTTATTCGAGGAAAAATTATTCGTTATCTACGAATAACGATTTTATTCGAGGAAAAATTTTACGAATAACGATTTCGAATAAAATTTCATTCGAAATATTTTCTGAAATAATGTAAAGTCCTTTCTTCACAATTCTCGTTTATTTAATAAATTTGCTCTTCATACAATTTTTTGTTCGAACATTTTGTTGGTTAGCCTGTTTGCTTTAGATAATGTCAAGAGTTTGTGCTACAGGTTTTGTAATAGCGATATATTCGTGTATGTAAAGATAATCGTCTTCAGCGAACCTATTTTTTATATTTAGAGTGTACTTTATATAGTTGATAGTTTTTTTTCTTTTGTTTTTAGTATATTGTGATAAGGAATTCCACCTTGTGTCCCCTGGTCTAGTTAAAGTGTGGCTTAAAACGTTCTGAATTATTTCGGCAGACTTAGGTCGTGATGCAGCTTTCCATAAATTTGTACATTTGTCAATTACTTGAAGATGAATTCTATTTAACTCTTCTGTTGTTTTTATGGCTCGAGTTACGTCAGTTGTTACGCACAGTGATAATGTATGGACAGACATCAACGGTATCGAAATCTATATTCATTTCCTCTAGTTCATCGTCGCTGCTGCTACTATCGTTTTCGTTTTCTTTTTCGATACCAAAAATTCTGAAGGCCTTTGCAAAATTAGAAACGTTATCTGTTACCGTTGCAAGTAGTTTGGATACTGGAGATTATGCGATACGGTCATAGCCATGCGTACCTAAATGTTCGTACAAGATAATAGTTATCTAATCGTACATTTAAAATAGTTATTTTTTTCTAACGTAATGTGCGTTACTATACAGTTACAAAATCTTTATCTCCAAATCTTCTACACGCTAAGGCAACTGATTTTCTTACGAGGCTGTCTGAATCAATCTAGCGGCAGGTAACAATCCAGAAAGCTTCTTCTTTTCGCTAACCATACGTCAGCTGTTGTGCAAACATATTGAATGTTTTTTATTTGATTTTTGATTTCAGCAACATTATTTTGATATAAATCTTCTATGTACCGATCTAAATCTTTTCTACTTATCATACTGCCATCATCTACAATTTATATACAGTTATTTATATAATATGTACATTTATATGTAATTTTTGAAATTTCTGTATTTACACTCAAAGTATTACAAGCATTTAGTGACATTCATATACATTTTCGTCAAGAAATGCCCTACAGTCAAGGCCAATAAACACAAAAAGTTAACTACTAAACCTCAGCGTCCAGTGCCGGAGTCATTTCTGACTTACACGGATATTCCACTAATGCATATTTAGGGTTGTCCGATACTATACAGACTGTAACGGTCGCTCGAGACCGAGGATCTCACTGATATTGCATCAACAGAAAACTGAACCCAACTGAAAACTGTGACTCCGGCACAGCAGGCAGAGGGTTAATGCAAAAGGAATGCATCCTTGGGCGATACCAGTGGGCAATTATTGCTTTATGGACTGGTCCTGCCCTATAAAGCACGTACAATTGTTATATCTATGGCCGGCGAAAAGATGATACACTTGAAGTGACTCGGTAGAAAAATGAAATTTTTGAAACAAATAACAAAACCTGTAACACACAAACTCTTGACACTCTCCAAAGGAGGAAAGAATGTTTTCTATGAAATGGTTATGCCATCCTTGTTTTTATTACAAAGTCTAAGTGGAATGAAATGGAAATATTGCGAACTTATAATTCAGTGTTTACAAAACAGTCTAGAAAGTAGATTCGACACTTATTTTAATGTAAAATCTTCGGAATCCAAAGAAGCAATTATCACTGCCCCATCCCATCCATTTTTTAAAAACAAATGGCCAGCGTGTGTACCTTCTGAGAGATATGAGCAGTTAATATCAGTATTAAAAGAACGCATATTATCAACAATGGAAGTTGAAGTACCTAGTGCAATAGTAACAGACAGTAACGAAACTGCGCAATTAAATATCTTTTTCGATTTCAGTCCGTATTCCACTTCAACCGACCAGCATTTATAAACGAATGATAATGTAGAACTTCTTGTATTGCAATATTTTACAGATAATAGAAATGATTACACATCTCTGAACGCATATCCCATAATCAAAAATATATTTTTGAAATATAACACTCCTTTGCCATCTTCTGCTCCAGTGTTTGTTTTTGTATAGCATTTGCAACGATAATAAACAGGCTGACCAACAAAATGTTCGAACAAAAAATTGTATTAAAAGCAAATTTATTAAATAAATCAGAATTGTGAAGAGAGGACTCTTTTTCTTTACATTATTTCAGAAAATAATGCCCAACTCTGGTCTCAGAGTATAATTGAATCAACGATGATGAAAAATTGCCGATGACTTTCAACTGTTGTAACTGTGTAAAAGGAAATCATATGACAATCCAATTTCATTTTAAAGCGTAGATTCTCTACTTTTACAATTCTCGAAATTTTACGTTACGCTACGGATGAGAAATATTTCTTTTTCCAAAACTGTGAAGATTCAAATATTTCAAATTTTTTTCACGACTAAATCCGTCATCTTGCTATACGATACTTTTTTCGGCGTTTTATTAAACTTTAAACACTAGGATTAAAAATTCAGAAAGGTCCGAACTAATGTTTAAAGTTTAATAAAATGGCAAAAAAAAAAAGAAAGAAAAGAAATCGGACAACAGATTTTAAAAAGTCGTTGTAAAGAGAAGATTTCAAGACTATTTTTAAGGAACAAAGTATCTTTTCTATCTGCTACATGATGCAAAATCATCTTCAAAAAAAATTAACCCAAGACTGTTAAAATACAGATTTTACACTTTAAAATGATCTTATGTGATCTTTTTTTTTTGCAAAGTTATAACAGTTTAAATAATCGGCAACTTTTCATCGTTATGCACTCCACTGAAAATTTCTATGTATTTCAGTCTCACTATAATCACAAATGATGCCTACTGCGAGAAAACAGACCACTATTATAGCAAGTGGACAGTGAATAATGGCTGGACATTAATATTAATATTTTATGAAATTTGAGCATTACATAGTGTAACATGGAAGAAATGTATTCATGAAGTAAATAAAATATGCTTCTGCTAATTGGAATATTCGTAATGCGCGAGATTAGCATAATACAGAATGTAAAACAATGCCAAGGCCCGGCGAAATCGAGCGAAACAGCTCGTTGGTTCACACGCGACAGCTGCAAACACGCGAAACCGAACGATCGTCGTCGACGTCGCCGTTTTACGCGCCAACTTTATGCTCCGTGAACCAACTACCCTGGCAGGAGTAGTTTTTCCCCCATTCACGCTCGTGTGAAAGTGACCAACGATCTCATCTTCGACTTCCATCGTTAATGGCAGCAACTATGCGCGCTGAGAGTTATTCGCGTCTATCTAACGTTAGGCAATTTGGCGGGTGCATTTTAAAATGTGGAGCGTCCGGTAGGAAATGACCGAGAGAATCCTTTGAAGACACTTCCGTTGATATTTGCTTCCTGATCGAAAGACGATCATCGGCACGTGTCTTTCCTGTCACCGAAGAGGTTTCGCGCGTCAACTTCCTTTCTTCAAACATGACGTGCTTTAAATTTAAACTTTAGTAATTTCAAGATCCACCGCACTCGCGTCGATCTTTCGTATCCCCGTTTTGACAAAATTTTTATTGCAAATTGCAACACTGTGACAAACTGTCGCTCAGTATTCGATCAGGCTTAAGCGTCATGAAACAGGGTGACATGAATATCCTCCGGCGAGGGTCTTCTTCGTGTAATCGTGACCCATTACTTCCATGCTGGGGGCACGTGAACCATATGGTTCACGTGACCGTCGATACATGCGCCCGCGATCCTCGATCGAGCTATCGAATTCACGAAATTTAAACTTTGCACGCGCGATCAGTTCCTTCGTCCGCGCTTCGTTGGCTTCATGGGAAATAACATTAGCCGTCCGATGTCCCCGAATGAAATTTCTTCCTCCTCCCCTGCAACCCTACGTCGTGTGTGTGTTTGTAGCGCGACCAACGACCATTTTTTTCCATACGTATCCGATCGTACGTACGATTAAATGTTAAAATGTCCTGCGATTGTTTCACGCAATTTAATGTACACTATTCGGGGCACCGCAATTAGCAGTGGGTTCACCAAGGCGTGGCGCTAAATATGCATCAGACTGCACCGATCCGAGACTCGTTTTTTGTCAATCACGTTTCCTGTTCGACGTCGATGACGTTCTAGCGACGTTGAACTGCAGTTACAGTGGAAACGTGCAGTGTGACGAATTATCCTATCAACGAATCACGGTAGTCTGTTTCACTATAATATAGTCGATAGAATTTCAGAAATGTCTCATATCGCGTAATGAGTTTACACGATGCATTTGCAGCGTTCGAATTCTCTCACGAACAATTGTATACATATTGTTTGATTGTTCTAATTCTAAACTATCTGTTAAAAGAAAAGTTTTTATGTTGCTATCAGTTTCGGTCGTGTTCGACCGTTACAGGAACGATATTTGTGTCAGAGAGCATTGTTCATTGTGCAACCGCGTGCACCTGCGCTTTACGATTGCTAAAAGCGGAAGAACTCCCCCGTGTACATGTTTCACCTGTGCTTTTCTGCACTTTCACACGTGCACTGCATCCAATAAAGAGTGTTAAAGCGTCTCATAAATGATATTCTTTAGAATGTCTACGAGCTAATTGTTAATCAGAATGAATACTTTTTTTACGACTTACTGTATATCCTATTTCAGGTTGGATTATGTTAATTTTTTTTAAATTGTTTACTTGGAATTTCATGGTTCTAATGGAAATCGATAGATTTCTTTATCTATGATTATGTATTAAAGTAACAAGAGTATATATATATATATATATATTGCTAATAAACAAATTTAACTTTTTAAGATGTTTAATAAATTTATTAAAAAACTTTGCTTTACCGACATTCGATGAAATTTGTATCCGTCCAACGTTAAGGTAGATTCCCTTTTTATGAATGTCTAAAATGTCAAACGTGACGTTATCGATCCAGACTAAAGACGCGTCTCGGTATATTATCTTCGGAGTTGTAAAAATTTCGGCGGCTAGATGGCGCTCGGTTTGTTTTTTCGCAATAACGACGCAGTGAACAATCCGCCGCCATTAAACTCGTATTTTCAGTGGCACCTTCGTTCTCTCGTAACTCAAAGATGAACACTTGCCATTATAAGTTTTACTTGGGGAAACTCTAAGAATACTCTAGAAACGTAAGAACGATTGTAGCAGTAGCGTTTAACGGTCAACAAGGTCTATATCTATCCATGCAAGTTTGAAAACGCAACAAGTACAATTGGTGAGACGTGCCATGAAAAACTCATTCGATACGATCCGGCTTTATTTTCGTCTTGAGAAAATGTACAAAGCGTGCCCGCTATAGTTTGTTCCAAGGACCTCGGTTCGGTTAGCGATACGTTCGCGGCGGTTCACCGTGGTATCGATTACTTTATAAAAAGATTCAAGGCACGCCATAGAGAGGAACAGTCGCACGAAACAGATGATAATATTTCATTTGCCGTTTACCGAGGCAAACTTTCGGCGCGTATCTGTCGCGTTGTTTGATCAATCGCGCATCTGCCCGAACTTTTCGGTCGATCGTCGCCGAATGCTTTCGTTCTACGAAATGGCGAAGCATTTTAGGAAGCCGGTTAGGAGGCGAGGCGGCGTGATTCGTTCGCTGATAAATTTATCATTCGCGTCTATTTGCATCCGAATCGATAATCAATGGTACGGGCGCGCCTCTCGATATACACGCGTGTATACCTATGTACGTGCATGCTTGATAGCGAGCATGGACATAAAACGTCCGACCGTTTGTACTGTGTTTGATCATTATTCAAAACAGCCACGTAATACGTTATTCTTAAGAATATTTCAGGTTTAAACAGCTCTGTCTCTCGTTTATAAAATTTATAATATTCCTCCAAAAATCTCATCTTGGGACGTCGAATGTTGTACCATTCGTATCACGAAGCTTAGAGTTTTATGAAAAATCACGAATTTTCAAGTACGAGCGTGAGCTTGTCTAAGGATAAATTTTATTTGCAATTCTAAATCTCTGCGAGGTTCAGTCGTAAGAAATACGTACTGGAACTCGCTCAAGTTCAATAAGGTCTTACTGTTCTCGCGCTTTTCGTCACGAGGCCGCCAGGTGTCGTCATCTACGCATTTATCATTCACCACGCGCACGTTGCTCGACCTTACGAAAAATCCTCTCGCCCTTTGACGTCATTTTTCCTTCGTCCCTTCACGAACGACTTGGTCGCTTGGCTTCTCGGGCTTTCTAGCGTGAATTCTTTTCAAGCAACTCAATTTCAGCAGCAACTTTTTCTTCAATACTCCACTCCATTCTTCGAATGACGATCGTTATCCATCCATTATGTCGATCGTCGTGCGAAACATAAACAGTCAAATGAAAAAAATATGATCTAACAGGCAGATAATAATCTGGAATTAACGATAATTATTCGTGAGCAGGGACGGCTCGTTTGTATAGCCGCTACCAATCTGATATTAGTATATTACATATAATATAATATATTATATATTATTATATATGAATTATATAAATATATTCATTAATTTATTTATACTTGCCAGTATTTAATTTTATTCGCCAACAATTCTATACGAGTCTCTTATTTTGTATATCAAGATAATAAAATAGTGTTTACAGTGTTTAAAGTGTGCATGTATTGGGCTGAAATACACAAAGAATAACTGTTTTTTTTTTCGTGTATGTATGTGTGTGTGTGTGTGTGCAAATGAAAGGTGAATTTTTCTTGAAAACGAAAACTTTATCAATACATTGATAAATCATTTTTTTTTTTCAGGTAATTTCATGTTTCAGAAAAAGTTCTTATCTTCTTCCAAGAGCGACTTCATATCATCAGCAATGGGAAATTTAGCAAACCAATTCTGACACTACTTTCGAAGGCTCCTTCGTACGCATCAGATAATTTTTTATGAAGCTTGCACAACGTTTCTTTTCCTTTTTGGGAAGAACAGTGCAGCAAAATACGACGAAGATGTCCCTGCTTGGTCTCCCATTTTGGAATCGACGCTGCTAACGAACAATCGTTAACGAGATCGCTCATTTTCACTTTCTGAGACAAGTTTGAACAATCAGGCATCAGACTGCGAGACGACGAGTTTTCAGCTCAGCGTGAAGTTTTCAAGTTTTACATTTCAAGACACGCACGCATGCTCATCTGTTGGAAGAAAACGCAATTACTCTTTGGCCAACCTAATATATTTCGAAAGTTGCAGCGTCCCTCCCTCACGAGTTCAAGCCACGAGCCGCCATTGTTCGTGAGTCAACTTTGTCGATGACTGATGATACGAACGTGTTCAGCTTAGACGTCCATACGTTCGTCGTACGACCGACGCGTATAGTCGAACGTTTTTGTAATTCGTGGCGTGAGTCGCGAAGCGGCTTCGAAACGGATAGATACGCCACGCGTTTCGAGGAATCGAGCTAGCTCTGTCGAGGCTCGGTGTCGGGCCACGGTCGCAGCTAGAAAGATAGCTTATCGTGACCGGTTATAAAAGGAAAAAAAAAAAAGAAGAGAAAAAAGAAAGAAAGAAAGAAATAGATAAAAGGTACGTACGTGGAGAGCCGTACTTCGAGATCCCGGTCGACTCGGTCAAGCAGGGTCACCACTTCCGCAACTGTTCCACCGTACGCGTAGGTTCCTGCATATGTATCGACTCTTGTAATCGGCTCAGGTAAGCAATATTAGATCTGTTTCGTTGCTTACCATTAGTACGTATTGCGTTCTACCTTCGTTTGTTGTTGTTTTTTTTTTTTTTTTTTTGCCAACTACGAATACTCGCGAAAATATTCAAGTTATAAAAAATATTCAAGTAATATCACGAAATACTGACAAATCGGTAGATACTATCATATTCATGATGTTTGAGGAAACTTTCGCGAGCCATTTATTACGCTTGACATAAAAAAGAAAAAGAAAAAATGAAAATGTCAGTTCTCGGTTTATTAACTATATCAAATTGTCCCCGCTTCGTTCGATCAAAAGAAATTCTTGATAAAACGTCGACAGACCTCGAACGCGTTCGTTGCACCGAAACTCACTTTTACATTTAACCAAACGCAATTAACGCGCGAATATCAATGCCTCGAGGAAGCCGATAAGACTCGTTTCCGTCCTGGTAGATTGGCTGCGCAAATCCGATGGACGATCCGGAAGAATCCAGCCAGTGAATTCGCGCCAGTTTTATCCGTAATAAAATTATATACCGCTTCGGTAATGTGATTAACTCGGTATCGATCGTGCAGCCGCTTTCAATGCTGCCCTCCTTAGTTTAAAATGTCCTATCTGGCATTCTTTTCTTTATTCATTATGTTTTTTTTTTTCATCTCTCAAGATACGTACGCTGAATTATTAAAAGTTCCCCGGGGATTTCTTTTCTTTCTTTTTTTTTTTTTTTTTTTTTTTTTTTTACCTGGTAAAGTTTTATCATACAGGCTGTACAGAGCGATAAAACTAAGCAGTTGTTGTTTTCCTTGGTTTAAGTAGGTTTAAACATCGAGAGAAATATACCGCCGGGGACTAGATTTTAATGAATATCGCACGATACTCCAAGTCTGCTTAACTTCATTATTAATTAATTGTCAATCAACTGTTAATCTCATTGGCCTTTAGCGCATCGATCCACACAACGCGGTAAAATCTTTCCAATCGTTGTTTCAACAAAGATCCACAAACGTAGTAAATGGCTTGAACCAAGCGGATTGAGCAGAAAAGAAAGAATTATACTCGTCCGATTAAAAACAGGACACACCGGAGTAACTCGTCAACAGCTTATCAAGAACACGGACTCTCCCTTCTGCAACAGATGCCAGAAATCTCTCACAGCCCAACACATTTCATGTGAATGCACAAACTTCGAGCGGCAGAAAAAGACTCCGTCGTCGCTCTGACTTTCCAAAATCATCCGAAGAAAACACTCCAGTTCTTAATAGACACAACTGCGATACCACAAAATGTGATGCCATACTATATAGCAGCCAATGACCTCGATGTCGATGCGACTTTAAACCTGCACAAAATAGAGAAAGAGTAGAGCATTTGTCGGATCGCACGCAGTAATCACAATCTGTTCGAAATGAAAATTGCACCTGCCGGTGGATATTTCTTGTCGCTGATCGTAGCGAGTTGGACGGTTGAGGAAAAGAAAATTTGGTCGATCGTTGGAAAATTGGCTCTCTAGATCGGATTGATTGGACGTTATCGCGCCTGGAGAGTCTGGTTCACTGGCCCCGTCCCTCTGCCAGTATGGAGGACACGGGGTAACAAATTGTTATCAATTGTGGCGATAATTCGCCGTTGCGTGGCGTTCGCCGCCGAATCGTTGCCAGTCATCCTCGGAGGATCTATTAAAACGCAATACACCGGAAGCCGTCAGCGCAATCAGAAATTCTTGAATTGATTGAAAACGAACTATTCTCTGCCTCAACGAATCCAGTAATTCGGGTTCTATTTGCCCAGGTAGCTTCTCGTTGCTATTGTTCGTCGCGGATCGTCAAAGCGCTCTCGTCGCTCGTTTCGATCGAATCACGTTCGTTTTGGCTCGGATTAAGATCGTTCTTATTGTACAGTGATCGACTCTGTTACTCTCTCCTCGAATTTTCACTCTACCTTTCGTCTCGTAAAATGGTTTTCGTTGATTTATTAAAAAAAAAAAAAAGGATGAAGTAAAACGTACCACGTAATGGCAACATCGATTGGACAGAGAATGATGCACGGAATGGTAGTAACTTGTATTCGTTTGAACATTCGACGCTTTTCGTCTGGTGGATTGATCGTGCCTTTCCTAATTGAATCTTCCGTGCTCGAGGAGAGAACGTCGCGCAACGTCGTGAAACGCGACGCGACGTTAATCTCGATACGAAAGAAATTTTGATACTCGTTGCACGTTGCCCGTCACTTTTTTTTCTTTTCTTTTCTTTTTTCCCTCGGTCTTGATCGGAGACTGTACCCCGAGTAGACACTTTCCTCGAGCGGCGCACATTTCCTCCATTTCCCGAGCGCAACTCACATTGCCTCGCATTTTCTCCGGTACTTTTTACGCTCGAGTGTTTTTCCGGTGACGCACTGTGGCGTCATAAATATTTGCCGAGGTCGACGCGAAGTTAATCGAAATTAAATGAAACGAAACGATTCCTCTTTCATCGCTATCGTCGTCTTGGTCTCTCGGGACTGTTGGATCAGCTTTTCGCTAAGAAATTTCTCAGCATTCTGTCGCTTCCAAATCGAAAACGACGTATCTCGCGAGATACGTGCAATTCACGTCGAGCGGACAATTTAAAACAAAACGTTCTCTACCTGGTGAAGTCGACGATCCTCTTTCTATTTCGGAAACATCGCCACTCGAAGAAGCGATTTCAACAATATAAAAATTGTTAAGAGGGAGCCGTTAACTCTCGACGAAATTATCTTCGCCGAGCAGGAGAGATAAGAATAGAGGCTGGTGGACAAAGAGATGTATCAGAGGATTCGGCCGGGTGTTCAACGGCTCCCCGCTTGGATTTCGTAGATATATTTTCCCTCGAGTTCAATAAATTCTACGCGATACACGTCGAGAAGGTTTTTACCTGGGGTAAGAGGATTTTATAAGGGAAAATCGCGGTCAGGAGGAAAGATTGACGTATCGATGGGTTAGCCCTAACATGGAGAAAGATTCTATTGAACGAATGCCACTCACCGATGGCACGATGGCACGATGGTCGCGCGAGCACAATTTCCTCGACTTGTTAATCGACGAGTTAGATTTGGTACATATTCCTCGGCGATTTTTCGCCCAGACGGTGGTATGCCTCGTCCTCACTCGCCGATTCTTTTCTCGGTGAACGGTCCAGGGCCGCTCGAGAGGCAAACCTTCGAGCAAAACGACTTTCAGAGCCCGTAGTAATGTACTTTCACATTTGCAAGACCGAGGCATTGAATCGTGTTGGAAACTCGTTTCGCATTGGGCGACAGGGAAGCGGATAGGAGACGGACAGAGACGGAGGTAGAAAACCACCTTCAACGCGGGAATGATTTTTCGCAACGATGCGCCGACGGTGCCGCGAGGCTTCTCACGAAAATGCATAGCTGTCTGGCTCGTTTCGAGTGGAACGGTAAACTAACCCGTACGTTTGACGTTCATCGGTTTCGCGAGCCGCGTCCGCGTGTTTCCACTCGTCCGGACCCCGACCCTCGAATTATATAATTTGCTGTAATTCGGGTGAGACAAGACAGCGTGTAATTACATAGCGAAGGCTATTGTAACAATCTGTCGTCCCGACCAGTACGTTAGAACGATCAAGCATATCAGCCATAGTTGAAGTGACTCAACGAGAAAGTATCGTTTTCGAAACATTTGCACGGACTCCGGCTGTAACCACTCGCCAATCAGTCTAAATCGATCGATTTAAAAATCAGCCAGTCTGTTCCTTCCACCATCGATCTCTCGACGAACTTGTCGTTCGAGTATTTCCGTCAAGTCGTTACGTTCCTGGCTGAACTTTAGAGACCGCGGGGCGAACACGGAGGTTTCGCGGTACTCTGATATTTAAAGAGCGATCTGTATTCACGTTGCCGCGCAGAACAGCAAGTGCAGTGACCCAGTGACACGTGGAAAATCTCGTCGCGCGCGGTGCGTGTCGCGTCGAAAACTCGCGAGAGGTGACTTTGCCGAGAGATGGCTAATATCGACGATGACAGTCGCCGCGGTGGCACGTAACCGAGCTTTTTTGGGCAATGGGCAAAGAAAGAAACGCCGCGTGACTCGCCCGAACCGAAGCGCGTAGCCGAACGACTACGGTGCCGAAACAGTGACGGTTTTAATTTCAATATCCAGCCGGACACGGCTATCTTTTTTTTTTCTCGTATAATCGCCCCGTCGACTTTCGAATCCGCGAGTCGCAATTCGAGTCCTCCGCGCCGCGCCGCTTTCCTCCGCCGATCGTATTACACGCACGTCGCGCGTTCCGCGGGGAAAAGTAGTCAATCTGGCATTGAAAACGACGGGAAAGCACGACGCATAGAAAATTCGAAACGAAAAGAACAAGCTATTTTTCCAACTTCAGGGAAGAATCGAGAAGCAATTTGCCGTCCGTGTCTTTTATAAATGCTTGCTCGTGTCGGTGCAACGGATAATTTTTTTCTCTACGGTTAACTCTCGAATAATTTTCTCTTGCACAGGTAGCGGAAGAACAGTGTAATTTTTCTCGGAAAGCGGATGGCGTGTATACACGGCGAGATCCGATCGAGAAAGGAGAATAACGGGCCGAACGCTATTTATTGCGTTTTTCGGGTCAGACAGGAGCGCGTGAATTTTCGTACGAAAAACGGGTGCCTGCAGGCTCCCCGGAACCTCTCTTTCTCTTTGTCCATTTTCGAAGGCACTTGCCGCGAAACCGTTGAGGGATTTTTAAAGTAGGGTGCAGAAGCGCGACGGTTAGAGTGGGGTGCAGCAGCACGGTGTGGCTGGAAGTGGGATCGGGGAAGAGGCGTACACCGTCGTGACGGTCGCTGGCTCTCTTTATTGTACCCTCCTCTGGGTCGGTGCCGTGGACCCAATTCGCTTCGAGACCGGCGACGTTGCGCCTCCAGCACAGCACAGCGTGCGCGCGTGCGCGCGCACACACACACACATACACACACAAAACCCGTGAGCCATACGAGTATATCGTAGACGAGTTGGATTTTCACATTCCGATTAGAAAATTAGAGTCCCAGCCGAGCGAGAGAGCTGCTGTCCTTTAACGGCCAATGACGTCACAGCGTCGCCAAGTACGCGATTAGAACAGGCAAGTCTCTAATGGGAACGGAACGTTTCGCCTTTGCCACGCTCGAATCATCGGGCGTGATTCGTTTTCCACTGGGCCAACATTCCTTTTACTCATTTATTTTTCTTCTCTCCTCGATGGAGGAGACTCTTCGCCGCACTTGTCTTCAATAATTATCGATCGCGCGCGAGTTCTCGCCGCGTGCGGCTCGAGATCGAATTTCGTACTATACGAGAAAAAGCGCGGCTGTATCTTTAGACGCGGCGGCTTCCGACTGACGTAAAAAGATCTGGTTTCACTTGGCTCGGATGCAAAGCGAATTATCTTCTAATCTAGACGCCGAAATTTCTAATGGACGTGGTCTATTTTCGCGATAATCGGACTGAACGATCGTTTTACTTCTTTCGAGATCAGAGATTCCGAAAAAAATGCGGTTCCCGGAACTCGAGGTGGGGGGCTATTTTTGTAATTTACGAAAAAACCATCGCCGCGTTATTAATACTCCGTTACTCGAACGTAGTGGTCATACGAAAACATCAATGTCCTTGCGACGTACGCTCGTACATACGTTCCTCGAGTCCTGCGTCCTTCAATCGAACGCGCGCTAAATCGTTTCCGCCGCAAGTGTGCGGGAATAAAATTTTCATTTCAGACATCACAAGGTTCAAGTTATAGTTCTTGCTCGACATTTTCACAAATTCGTTACAAAAGCAGAAGATTTTCGTCTTTCCGCTTGCTGGAAGTTGTTTCGATCGATTGAATCAATTTAAGGGCGCGTTCGTTTCGCCCGGTGCCAATGTCGATAGGACCGTGAAAATGTCTAGATCGCTTCGCCCTTTACTCGTTTCCGTTCGCTTCGTCGCGATGATTACAAATCGCCAGTTCGACCGATTCGTATACCGTTGTCTCGCCGTTTTTTTCCCCGTCAGAGAGCGGCACACTGTAGCGCGCGACGGGACGAGAAATCGATGGCAAAAACAATCGCGCGAGACTTTTATATCCACTGTTGCAAAATCGACGCGCGTGTTGCCTTGTTTCTCGATCGAAAAATGCTGATTGACGAAAACGAAAATTCCGTGGATCATTTATTTTCCGCGTGCATATGTCGAAAGAGCGTTAACGACCAGCCGACGTCATTTACGATTCTCGTCGAATGGGGCATACAGCATAGAGAAGATCGGAACGCGCGCGGGTTGCGCTTTCGAAAATTTTCGATGCACGAGTCGATTTGTGGAAAATTGTCGGCAAGAGAGGGATCCCGTACGTTTCTCTTTCGATAGACTGAAATTTTTACGTGGTAATGTGGGTCCATATGTTTTGCAGATTCGTCTGATAAGGAGGTCGCCCGATGGTTTCTTAAAGCGATTGGAACAGTTGGAGCGTGTGTGTACGTCAGAGCGTGGCACATGAGTCACACTCGAAGAGGAAACGGGGACGGGGCGCCTGATGCGCCCACGATGTCGTCGCCCCTGCGCGGAAAGTGAGCGTAAACTGCCGAGGCGTGTCGAAGATGGCCGAAGCGAGTCGGTTGTGCGGCAGTCGAGTCCGAGCGACCCCCCGATCGCGGTCGTGCGTGCTGGAAATGTTGGAACGACATGTACGGGTACGGGCAGTCGTCAGTATTGGAACAGCGGCAACGGGAACAGGAGGTTCAGTAGCAAGAGCAGCAACGAGGACGACAAGGACGAGGACGAGGACGGCGACGGTGACACAGTGATGCATCGCTAGCAACAGAACAGACAGAACGGAACGAAACGAAACGAAACGAAACGAAGAGGAGAGGGTATGATTGGTGGAGCCAACGGATCGAGACATTGGTAAACGGTTAAAATAATAAAACGGATACGTGGTGTCTACCGTGTCCTGTCCCGGGTCCGACGTGTAAAACGAAGGTGCGCGCAAACGCTGGCGGCTCCGCGAAATATGTATATGACGGAGGTGGGCGAGGGCCGTGCGAAAAAGTGGCGAAAACTGTGAGAGAGGTGCAGTGCCTCCACGTCGGTGGCAGTGGCGGTGTGGCAGTAGTGGTGCTGGTGGTGTGGTGGTCGTGGCGGTGGTGGTGGTGGTGGCGGCGGTGTGGCGTTCTGCTCGTGCTACCTCGGTGTATATGCGGGCGTGTGTTGGTGGGACACGCACTTCGGCGGGGCTGTGGTTCTCGCTCACTCGTATGTCACATCTCGTTCTCTCTTTCTCGCGCACCCCCCTATTCACCGCGGCTGCCCTCTCTGTCGCACCAACGGAGGCCATCGTACCGAAAGCGACCGAGCCAGGCCAGGCACTACGCAAGATGGCTGTGTGTCGCTAACGAGAGAGTCCGACAAACTAGACGGGGAAAAAGGCAACCCGGGGGATAAAACGGAACATGCTGCTACGTGATCGTCGGACCCGTCCCTGAACAGAGAGACACTGGCCAAGAAGCGAGAGGTACGTTCCTTTCTTGTGCCTTCTGCTATTTTTATTTCACCGACGATCCATTCTCCGCTCTTTCTCTCTCTGACAAACCGTGTTTCTCGTGTGTTTCTGTCCTCTGGCGTATCCGTATCGTAACGACCGGTGAAACGACACATATTTCGGTGTTTTTTTCGATGATTTTCAGAGTTGACAGGTTACCGGGAAACGTCATACTCGCGTAACTCGCGTGCCATTTCCCTTCTTGGAAACTCTTGGCCGAACCGACTCGCACAGCCTTGTTATAGATACACGTACGCTCGATACGCACGGAAAACGTAAACAAATTAAAGTTTTCTCCCGTGTGAACGTCACAGCCAATCGCCGGTGTACGTTCGTTGCGCGAAACTTTTTCGGAAAGCCGGTCGTCCGATCGTGTATGTTGTAAATTCACCACATTGGCAACGTGACAGTTCAGATTTTTCCTTTGCACCAGGTTTCATGCGACGTCGACGCGAACAGTTACCTGAGAATCGCGAGAAGGGAAGCCAAATTGAGAACATCTGTTGCCGGGAGAGCTCGAGACGGCGAACATAACCTCAAAATGTCGGTTTGCATGCGTTGTCATCGTTAGATAGAAGATACGCGGTCTTTTTTTTCGTCGACGAGAACGATCGCGTCGGTGGGTGTGTGCGTGCGCGTTTTACGCTCGACGAACAACTTTCGATCGCAAAACGATGCTTTCGGCAACCTTTTTTCAGTCGTTAACGATCGCGTCGAGCGTGAATGCCGACACGTAACGTGTACGTACGTTGCGCAATTTCACGAAACATACAGTATTCGTGAAATCGAACGAAAATCGTGCCCGACGGCATGGAGAAGTTTCTTCGTTGCGAACGAAGAACATCTGTCGCGAAGCACGTCGGCGAAGAAGTCGCGTTGCAGAAACGTTTGCTGGATTGCGATTTTTGCGTGTCATCGAGTTGACGACCGCAACGTACGTACGTATATATGTATATATACATACATACGTGCATAGTTCGTCACGAACGAAATTCTAGCGCTTTTCGTTGCTTCGTCGGGCGTTTTACACGCGCGTAAGCTCGCATGGAAATTTCCTATCCGCGCAGCGCACCGTCGTTCGCTTCGTTTCAATATGTATACATACATATGTCTATAGAACGGTAGGGATCATTTACCAACCACTCACGACCATCCTCGGTTTATTTTTCACGTTAAAACCGACACACAACACGGCCAGCACGAGTGCTTTCGTATCGGTACCGCGTTCTTTCTCCAATTGAAAATGTAGTAGTTTAGCGACGGATCGAGAAGTATTATACTTCGCGACGTCGGTCGACGTTGACTCTTGCCGTACGATCTTTTCGTTGTACAATTCGTACGTACATACGTCAGAATTTGCTATTTACCATTTACCATACTAGCCTAACGCTGCGTCGAAAGGGGCAAATATTGGAATAGTTTTGGACGAAACGTTTCAAGTCTCGCCAAGCATTTTTTATCTCTCAAGCGACGTTATACATTATACATGCTCTGTCGCGAAGTGTTTAAATGCTGTTTTTTTTTTTTTTTTTTAAATTCATGATAAATGAATTACGTAAGTGAGTTATTCGCTGCCTGAAAATTGAACCTCGCGTCGAGCGACGAAACCAAGAAAATTGATCGAGACTCGGCTTCGTGGAGAGGTTCGAACGACGTGACACGACGAAACCGAATCGCCGGCTCGGGTCTGTGTTTCTCTTACCGTTTTCGAAACGAAACGGAACGAAGAGCAAAAGCAATTTCAAGATGGGAAGGAAAATATTATCGTCGAATCGAATCGTTCTCCCGCGGAGGAACTCCCGGCTGGAAAATCCAATTAGTTTCATCCGTTCCTACGGCCGGAGTACCGCGCGCGTTTCATCCGCGGGATCGATCGACGCCGCTCCATATTGTCGCGTTTGATTATCGTTTTCTAATTATCGACCGACGTCTGGCAGTCTGCGAGGCGAACGGTGTAATCGGAAGTGGCAATCGGCGGACACGGCGCGATTCACTCAACACATTTTATATTACCACGTTCCTACCAGGTTTCTTCAAACGTGACCTTCCGGAATGGCCTTTTCGGTCATCTCGAGAAGCTCGCCACACTTGATACATGCGAACGCGCGTTTCAGGACATTGGACTTCCTTTCAATGCACTTTCTCCTTCGTTTTTTCTTTCTTTTTTTTTTTTTTTTTTTTNTTTTTCTTACCGGCGTCTCGCGATAAGGAAATGACAAAGCACGAAACATGCTCGTTTTCTGACAGCGTAGGGTGATTCTAAAGCCGTGATACGAAAAGGACGCGTTTACGACTTTAGAATCATAATTCATTTACGGAGGAAACGAAGATTGAAAATTTGTTTGGTACCTATATTTTACGTGAAAGTGAAAATCAAGAACAATGAAACAATTGCGCAGCGGGATATTCGAGTTTGAAAACTTGTTAGGCATATTAGCAAGGATGCCATTTCGGGACTATTTGAAGGCAGATAATTCATCGGTAATTAGGTTTTCATTGATTAGTTTACGACCAAGCCAGAGTCCCAGTAAATAAAAGAGACCCCAGTAAGTGTTTAGGAAAAGGATCTGGAGTGGGGATGTGACAAAATTTCTGGCAAAAGCTGTTTCTTGAAAGCTTGGGCAGTCAAATTAAAACCATCGAGTCGAAACGTTCGGGACCGTTTCTGCCGCTATTCCCGTCAAGTACATGTAAGTTTGACAAATTCTTCGTCTAATTTCCAATTGAACGTGGTCTGAAAATTGTCTCAAAGTTATTATTATGTGCGTCAATGTGTAATTCAAAAATGTGGAAGTAGGTCTTCTCGTTCGAAGTTTCCTTTTGTCAAAAGAAGCGAACTTGAAAGTTTCTTTCTGCCGAGTGCGCGTGTGATCAGTCGAATTCTTCTTTCATTTTCCCTTAATTCGACGAGTCACCGTGTGTACTAGAGAGGGTGAAGCGGTGTACGTAAGTTATGCTTAACAACCGTCATTGTCTCTAGAGACATTGCGATGGAATACCGCGTAATTACACGAAATTGTACGGCAATGAGGAAGTTTGATCGAAAGTGGTTGTTTCGTGATTTCAAGGCGATCGCCAGCTACATTCTCTGCGCGAGTAAACCGAATGCTGATCGACACATCAAACGAACCTAACCTAACTTGCTTATAGCAGCTCTCTCGGACATTTTTTGATCTTTAGGTAATGTATGCAACAAATCAGGGAATGTATGTACGTTCGATAACGTATCGTGCGTTCGACGGTCGGAGTTCACTCTTAACCTCTTGTGCCACGCACGTCGAGAATTTTTTATTTCAAATTGCTACATTTTCTCAGTTTGAAGTATATTCGAATGTAACCCAGGCAAAACAAATGATAAGTTTATTACGTCTGAATAATTTCTATCCAGTGACATTATACCGACGAGTTCAAAAAGGAAAAGAAAGCCATAAATTATTGTATACGATTCGGCCATTCGTTACGGTCCGCATTTCTTGTAATCTCGAGTTCAAACCTATTCTAAATGATATCCCATCGATGGTTGTCTTTGTTTAAAAACTAGATTTATGGATTTTTTTTTTTTTTTTTTTTTTTTTGAACGGGAAAAGGAAAGGTTGTTTCCTCCATCAGAAAATACCATCTCCATTCACATGTATTGTTCGACGAAACTATCCAGGCTTTATAACTTTCCGTCTAGGGACCATGCTATGAACAATCCTTTATTTTGGCAAAAACTTTGTTGTTCTCGTACCCTTGGAACGTGAAACTAGTCAGTCGTCTACCTTGTAGAGATCTGGGTGTCTCGCCTCTTTTAAACCATCGTTTCACTCGAGACTATCTCTGACATGCTTCGAGTTGACTAACTGTTTTTGGGTTTTGCAAATACAAATGGAACACGACGTACGAGAGACCCGAACGTTTGTTACGCTGTTTGATCGATAGAAACGCTCTTGTATTACCGTTACCGCGTTTCTTCGAACAAACGGGACAAAACCGGGTCCAATCGACTCCTCTTCGATTTTTATTCTATCGTACGTTTGCTCGATCGAGAGCTCATTTCCCAAAGTGTCTTTCGTTTCAGTATGAGATCAAGAGATAAAGCACGTTTCCGTTTGAAAGTTTCGTTTTTACAAAATGAAAATAAGTTATTAAGTTAATCCTCGACCAAAGAATTCTTTCCTGTTATTTAGCTTGAACATTTAGTCGTAGCCAATCGATGAGATCAATTACTGCCTGTTTGTTGACCAGATTTAGAAATTTCCAAATATCCTCAGTAAATCATTCGATGAACAATGCGATTTTGAAATTGGCATTTAAAGACAAACGAGGAGCTCTGGCCTTTGTGACGCGCAGCACGAACACGTCTCGATTTTATACCTGTAAACATCGTCGTAGTGCGTTTCGAAGAAGGGTGGTGAAATTAAAAGTGTGGATAGAGGCGGCGACGTAGAATGGTTTAGTCGGAAAATTTCGTCGTCGAAGGAACGTTGTGTCTTGGTCGGCGAGGGAAGCGTGGAATTTTACAAAGGAAGAGGCGTATAATGCATTTATTGTGTGGTAATATCAACAATCGGCGGACGGAAAGGCGATTTCGCGAGAAGCGGATGTCCGAAACGCTCCGAAAAACGCTTACGCGACGTTGAGCAACGCGATTTGTTTTTTTCCGACGTGCGTCGCTGATCCGCGCAAAAGTTGAACATCACGAGGAGAGAGCATGATCAATTCGATCCAATCAAAATTCACACTGCTGAATTATCTTTTCCGGCGTATTTATACATTTTATTCAAAGGTGTGTCCGTCGATAAATACTTAACATCGGGCAGTGCGCGAGATATTTTTCTTCATCTAAGAAGTGCAAGAAAATGAGAGGTCTGCATTCGTTGGAAATTACTTTCGAGCACCTCCGAGGGATAACGAGTTGCGAAACGTCGTCGAGGCTGTTGAAATTGCGCAAAGGAATAGATCGTGGCTCTTCTCCTCTCGCGGAAACGCGGGTCAAGCTCCGATATTTAAATCGAACGTTTGATAAAGAGTGGCTCGATCCTCATCGACTTCGTGCCGATCCCTGTTCGTTGAAAGCACGGGCAAAGTGTTTAGCAGAGCCTTTTCGCGCGTGTTTTCTTCAAAAGCTTCGTCTCTCTGGAAAATAAATCTGGAATTTGGCCCTTTAACCCCTTGCGCTGGCCACTGGTTCGCGAACCATAACGAGTGACCAAACCGTATATATATAATAATTCGTCGCTTCCTTTTTTTTTTTTGAACTCGTCGGTATGATATCGCTGGATAGAAATTACTAAGAAGTGATGAATTTATTACTTTTTCTTTGCCTGGGTTATATTTCAATATACTTGAAATTAGTATATTGTAATTATTTTCTCAGTATTGGGAATATATTTTACCTTAATACGAATAGTAATATTTAGAACCGTTCAGAATTTCGAACAGAATCTCTTTTCCCTGAAAATCATATTTTTGAACACAGTTCTATTAAACCATTTGCGGACCGTAACGAGTGACCGGACCGTACAATAATTCGTCGCTTTCTTTTTGAACTCCTCGGTACGATATCACTGGATAGAAATGATTGAGAAGTAATAAACTTATTATTTGTTTCGCCTGGGTTACGTTTCAATATACTTAAAACTGAGAAAATGTTGCAATTTGGGATAAAGAAACTCTCGACGTGCGTGGCACGTCATTCCAGCGGAAGAGGTTAACAACATACGTGCATCCTCTCCCCCGAAGATTGTTAGCGGCGCGAAAAAACACGAAGTCTAACGCACGATCATCCAATTTGTCGGCGAACTTTTGTGCGCGCGATTGCAGGTTATAAATACAAGACGTAACAGCAGACGTTTATGATCGTGATACCAGACGGTTAATTTACGACAATCCGACTGGCTGAAGGAGCTGTTCGCAGCGACGCGAGTTTGCGTTCGCGAGAGATCGGTGGCGTTGCGTTGCCTCTTCGATCGGGCAGTGTGTTTCATCTCGGTACGACTACGAGGCGTGAGCTCTCGAGCAAGGTTCAATTAATCGTCGTCGCGTATCCGTGCCGTGCTATTGAAGCAGAGAGTGCCTAGCTTCGGTTATCCGATGTTGTCTCCGCGTTACTTTCCTTCCGTTCGTTTGCCAATCGTGGCCCCAGGCCATTGAATACCGGCGTTTCATGGACGCGGTGATCCGTCATTCCTGTCCCATATGAGACGATGAAACGATGTTTGTGCGTCTAGTACGTGGCGCCTTCGATCGTTTCCCTCGATTCGACGTAGCCTCCAGAATATATCCTCCTCGAACCGGGTCGTTACGTATGCGTCAGACGCAAAGAATTGGCCAATTGGTTATACGCGCGATCGATGCCTAGCGTTCTCGTTGATCCGCGCTTTATCTTTCCGGCTTCGGGAGAATTGCCGCCGCAATTTCTTCGTGATTCATCGATTCAAGGGCGGTTGTTCGTCGTTCGAGCGCCTGTGACTCGGCGCCGCGGCAAAATGTTGTAGAGGAAGCTAGGTCAGTTTCAGTTTGTGTTTCGGGTTTCCCCAGCGCGATCGAATTGAGTCACTCTCTCAGACTCAACTGTGTATAGCGGTTGCAACCGCGTTGCACGTTTCGGCCTGTTGTGCGTGTACGAGGGTAGCGTAAATGCATCGCGAACGACGTGTACGTACGTACCATCGTGGCAAACAAGCGCAAACGCGGTTAGAGCCGGACTTTCGTTTCGCTGGTCCGCGCAACTCGCGCGGATAGACAAGAGAGAAAGATAGAGTGAATCATCGCCAGTCGCCGGTCTATATCGCGATTGAAACAATAGCTGCCCGCCCGTTGTGGAGAGTCACTCGCTCCTGCCACGAGAGAGAGAGTGGATCGTTCCGCGAGTCCTCGGCCGCCGAGCGAAAACTCGCGATAGATTAGGCACCGGCAGACGGTGTACGCGTTGTTTGCTGGTCGGCGCCTACTCGCTTTTTCTCGTCGTTGTTGTTGCGTGCCGTGTACGATTGTACGCGGCGAGCCGAGTAGATAAGCTCGGCAGATCAACGTAGACGCACGACAGCGCGACTTTGCAATGCAAAAGATCGTTTCAACTGTATGGGATGTGTCGCGTCGACCGTTTATCGCGACAACGCGGGCCGACAACGTGTTGCTTTTCAGTTTTTTCTCTTCTTTTTCTGCTTTTTATTAGTTACCGAAATAACAGCCTTCGGAGCGGTTCGGTTCGTCGTGACCAACCGACACAAATGATAATGTAACGCAGAGGTCGACCGGTCGCGTGTAAGTAAGCTGAAACTCCTTCGATCCGCTATCTGCCGCGCTCAGCTATTACGTAAAGTTGCTCCTTTTATTACGACGTACACTTGGGATGGTGCCTCGCGCCTTCAAACGCGACTATCCAAAGACGACCGAGAGAAGACTGTATCCCATTTTTCTTTCTTTTTTTTTTTCCTTTTTCCTTTCTTTCGTCTGACGCAAGGTGTACCGCGTCAAGAGAATCATCGCCGAGCCAACAACCGGCCATTCTCGCTGGAATTATCCTACGACCCACATTTACGGTCGTTCTTTCCTTCGTTCTCCCCCCCCCCCTCTCTCTCTCTCTCTCTCTCATGGCGCGGCCGTGCTACCGTGAGATCAAACTTTCTAGCCCCGGCACTTGCTCTCTTCTCTTTTGGTTTCGTTTTATAAACTTGACGATCATCGGACGAGCTTCCGAAGGGGAGGGGAATAGTTTGGCACAAAGACGACGGCGACGATGACAAGGCGATTTGCTTGCGAACATAGTAGCTACATTCTCGAACGCGTCAGGAATTCGCGTCGCGATATAAGCTGTGACCAGTTTTGTACATAACGATCGATATTTAGCCAAGTGCCGCGAGATCTGTCCTTACGACGAAGGATAGATTCGCCAGATCTATCTCTCGTTAATTGTTATCCATTGTCCAAATGCGCAGAAATGAAATAAATTCTCTGCTGTCCGTGAGCGTTCAAACACTTACTAAATTACCTAAACTACGTATAACCTAAACTTGTGGGAATCGTTTTGGAACACTTTGAAATTTGCTACTCGCGAGATTTTACTAATAACACCGGTTCAATCGAGACGAATTGTGGGTTGTTCCTGGTGCACCAGTTAAACAGAACTCTCTCTATCTCTCTCTCTCTCTCTCTTTCGTACCGGGTAACGAGACAGTTAACATAAACGTAACTGTACCTAGCGGTACCGTAGATCGTTCATAATACGGAGCAACACTATTTCTGACAAGCAGCACTATAATTAGAGCACATCGCGCACGCGGGTGAACGAGGATGGCCGGACAGGAGGGAAGGAGAGAAAGAGAGAGAAGATCGTGGACGCGCGGTGTGGCAGGGAGGGGGAAGCACGAAATCGGAGCTAACGAAAGTTTCCAAAACATTCGTCACACACACCGGTCGATCGGTATCTCTGTATCTATTTGTCCCCTCGTTTCTCTCGTCTTTCTTTACAGTATGACTACTTGCTATTTACTATTTACTACGTCGTTGTCGAGCCTTCCCGACGTGTAACACAAGTCGTACGTTGATACTCGTACACTTTCTTTTTTTTTTTTTCATTCTTTCTTTTACAATCGATAAGAGCAAAGAAGTACACAACACACACATACACACACACACACACATATGTATATAAGCGTTCGTATCTTATCGGAAGCTTAATTTCATAAATGCAAGTCTATCGGCGCTAGGCACTTCAAAGATCGATCGCCTTCTTCCGGATAGTAGATAGCAGCGTGTGGCTGACCGATCATGGGAAATTTTTATTTTTATAGCCGGTTAGCGTTCTAGAGCGAACAGATGCGGGGTTTTCACGCGGGGAAAATTTCCCGGTTGTATAGAGCGGGTGATGGGGAAGGTGGTAGAGTCTCAGAACAGAAAAAGAGAGAAAGAGAAAGACCAATCGAATGTGTATGTTTGCCCTGTTGCAGCTACTCGGAGTGTCAACCCGCAGAAACCTGATATTCGGTAGATGCCTTTTGAGAGCCGCTGGCCCGAATCAGCGTGGAACCATACAAAGGCACATGTATGTGAATCATGTATATTCTAAAATATTCATAGTCATGTGGTGTGTGGTCGGCTGTTTAGTTGCTGCTGCGTGCGTTTTTATACGTGCATATATCGCGGCCCGTCGGCTCGTCGGCAATGGCGAGCCGTGGGTTCCTTCTCTCCGTCGGTTCGCCTAAATCAGAACGACGCACGATGGGTTCTTTCCCCCCTTTTCTCCGGCTCGATCCCCTGCTGCTCGCAACAACGCGCCCCGAGATGAAATCCATCCACCGATATGTACGAAAATTCTCTGCCTCTGCTTCTCTCTATCCTCTATGCTCTTGCCGTGCTTGTTTTGTTTCGTTTCGTTTCGTTTCATTTTATTTTTAGTTTTGTCCATGTTTGTCCCGTTGTGTTCATCACTTGCCGGCGAAACGTCGGTGACGAACGGCGTGCCGCTTGTTAGATAACTTATACCGTGTTACCGTGTCCGCTAGAGAGTAGAGTTAACAGATGCGCCTAGTGATGATAGTGGATCGACGTTTGCCACGGAAAATGCAGAGTAGTAACGGGCGTGTGTCATTGCAGGGAATGTGTGACATGTTCATCCAAACACAGCAGGCAAGCAGCGTCAACGGCAGCAGCAGCAGCAGCAGCAGCAGCAGTAACAACACCGTTCACCACCACAGTAAGAAACGCAAGTTGGAGTACAACGTGAGTCAGCCGGTAATCCAACACGCATTGGTCCAATCGACCGGCGACTACCAATTAGACAATACCGGTCTACAACAACGGTATTCCGTGAACGGTGCTAATACCGCATTTAGCTCGCTGCACAACAATAATGCGCTGCAGAAGAGTAGCCCGAACCAACAGACCCTGGTACGAGCCTCGACGATCAAGCTCTTAGACACGTACCAACGTTGCGGCCAGAAGGTTGGTGCGAATTTCCTCTACCGATAAACTCTCTTCTGTGACCCGCGTGATTGTGTCGAGGAAAGTCGACTCATCCTCGTCTCTTTCTCTCTCTCTCTCTCTCTCTCTCTCTCTCTCTCTCTCTCTCTCTCTCTCTCTCTCTCTCCCTCCCTCTCCCCCGCATTTCTTTTTCCGCTCTCAACTTCAACTCTCCTCCCCCCACCTCTCATAATCTTTCTCTCTCTCTCTCTCTATTTGCCTCCCTCTGCTCTAACGTTAACGCTTCGAATCGCGAGAGATGAACGGCGATGATGCACGCTTACATTAAAAGTTCATCATCTCTCTCGCTCTTCCTTGCTACCGATACGCCATTTACCGTTCGACATCACTCTGAATAAGTATCAAAGACGAAGGCTTGAATGCAACAACTCGGGAGAAATTTTCTTCCACTTCTTCGATCCAGCTTTCAACGCGCGTCGTCACTTATAAACGTTGCCGTGAAAACGAGATAGCCTCGGTTTTATTTCGGCTGTTGGGGAAGCACGCCGACCTCCTGAAATCCTACATTCTCCTTCCAGGTGTTTTTCTCGTTTCCTGTGTACGTTTCACCTCGCCTATTCGGAGCAACAGCGACTTCTGCGACCCGAAGGCCAACAACAAACGGCTAATCCGCTCTTCATCCGTTTACTTTGTTTCGTCATCTCTATCTGGTCTTGTCTGATAAGAAAACTTACGTCTGCCGGCGGTATTTGTCTCCGTTTGTTTTTTCCATCGTTGCTGGTTTCCGCAATCGTCCACCAACACATAACAACTCGTCACGACGCGCTAAACATAATGGCGCGCGCTCTTTCTTTCCTTTTCGCGGGCGACGAATGGTCATCGTGTTCGCCATTGTTTTTTCCTCTCCTTGACCGCTTGAAAATCGACGTTCAACACTCGGTCACGTTTGCGCTTTCGGCAACGAATTTCAAAACCGTACGATAAAGAAAAACAAAGAAGAGGAGGAGCAAGTCGAGAGAGTTGCTAAGAGAGAAAACGATAGTATCCGCGTTTAACAGCCGTCGGATTCATGTCGCCTAATATCCCCGATGGACTAACTTTCACGAAAGTGGTAGCCTCGTTTCGCATATCGGCATAAAGAGCGTAAGCGCCTTTTGTCTTTGCCTATCTATCGCGTTAAATGCCACGCGAATCGATACGTCGTTTTCGGACAATTGGAAATGCAATTGGTTTTTCGTTGACCTTCGATCGTGAAACAAAACTACGGATTTGCGATCGGTTTCTCGGGTGATTTTTCCATGTGGCGTCGTAGTAGCTACCTATCGATTGCCTCCAAGGCTATCATTTCATATTTCATACACTCGGTCATCGTGATGTACTTCCATAGTGTAGTTCTTTAGTGGCAAAGTTTCTGCTTACTAAATCTCGCTGTCGAAGATTATCGTCGAAAACGACGTAAAATCAATGCGTATGTAATACACGTTACGATGAACGTTAATAACCAAAAATTTTCCTTCATATTCCACTGACCAACCACACGTACTACGTACGTGTTCGCGAGACTAATTTTCAACGACGCGCGAGCATATGGCATATGTGTGTATGTGTGCTGCATATTCACGTAACACAGACGAGATCACGTCGATTCTGATTCTGGCTTGTGTTTTTGGATTTTGTGTTGCCTCGGCGTCGGGGATTCATCTGAAAGCGTTTCGTTCTGCGTGTGTTCGTCGTTATCGTCCTTTCCCAACTAAAAAAAAAAAAAAAAAGCTATCAAACACTACCTACAATCTCTTAACGTCCAAAAATTTTTGTATAAGGTGTGTTCCTCCTACAGAGAAAAACTTGGTCGAGGGAGGGTAATGGTGACGGCTTGGCAGTCCACTCCGCCAACGCGACGAACGCAGTGGGTAGTACTGTAGTATCGCAGCACCATACACAACAGCAACAACAGCTGCAACAACAACAGCAGCAGCAGCAACAACAGCACAAGCAGACAGGCATGACGGCCCATAGCAAACAAGTAACTAACGCTGCCAATGGAGGCGGTGGCAGCAATCCCCAAGGAGACGGAGATTATCAATTGGTACAGCACGAGGTTCTTTATTCTATGACTAATCAATACGAAGTCCTCGAATTTTTGGGCAGAGGTACTTTTGGACAGGTAAACAACCTCTCTATTTGCAAACTGTTTCATTCTACCTGAAATTAAACGCTCTCCATGTCCCTCTTTTGTGCCTAGGTTGTAAAGTGCTGGAAAAAGGGAACCAATGAAATAGTAGCCATCAAAATTCTGAAGAACCATCCATCGTATGCGCGCCAAGGACAGATTGAGGTACATATTGCGAATCAATTTTCAAGTTGTTAAAACCTGGGCAGATATAGTTTCGATCTTTGATATAGGTCTCCATCCTGTCTCGACTCAGTCAGGAGAATGCGGATGAGTTCAACTTTGTGCGCGCCTATGAGTGTTTTCAGCACAAATCCCATACCTGTTTGGTCTTTGAGATGCTAGAACAGAATCTGTATGATTTCCTGAAACAGAACAAATTTTCACCTCTGCCGCTCAAATACATCAGACCGATTCTCCAACAAGTACTCACCGCTCTTTTGAAACTTAAGGTGAGCTCTGCGTTTGTGTACTGTCGCACGTTGGAACTACTTCCGTGTCGGCTCGTCGAATAATCTTGCGAATGATATTGCTTTTAGCAATTGGGGTTGATTCACGCTGACCTTAAGCCGGAAAACATTATGTTGGTGGATCCAGTTCGTCAGCCTTATCGTGTGAAAGTTATTGATTTTGGGTCAGCCTCCCATGTGTCGAAAGCTGTCTGCAACACGTATTTGCAATCGCGATACTACCGTGCACCAGAAATTATACTTGGACTTCCATATTGTGAAGCAATAGATATGTGGTCGCTTGGCTGTGTGGTTGCGGAATTGTTTTTAGGATGGCCTCTATACCCTGGTAGTTCAGAATACGATCAGATTCGATACATAAGTCAGACACAAGGCCTACCAACGGAACACATGTTAAACAATGCCAGCAAAACAACAAAATTCTTTTACAGAGACATGGACAGTAAGTATCACGCTTTTACAATCGTCTCGAAAATTGATACTCTCGAAGAAGGACAAGTACCGATAACGATCAAATAAATTCCAGGTACATATCCATTTTGGCGCTTGAAAACACCGGAAGAGCACGAGGCTGAAACTGGTATCAAATCGAAGGAAGCGAGAAAGTATATTTTTAACTGTCTCGATGATATTGGTCAAGTTAATGTCCCGACTGATTTGGAGGGTGGTCAACTTCTGGCAGAAAAAGCAGATAGAAGAGAGTTCATTGACCTCTTGAAGAGGATGCTCACAATGGACCAGGTAGTAATATCTAGTTCGTGCTTTAATTCTATGCAACGATCGAAAGACAATAGCCAGTTTCTAGAGCAGGCGAGATCATCATTCTTTTTTTTCACCACCTATCCCGTATTATTTGCAGGAGCGTCGTATAACACCTGGGGAGGCTCTGAACCATGCCTTTGTCACGCTGGCCCACTTGATCGATTATGCACATTGTAACAATGTTAAAGCTTCCGTCCAAATGATGGAGGTTTGCCGACGAGCTGGTGACTTTACTGGAAGTCCAGCGCATCACCAAGCTCCTCCAGCACCTCAACCACCTCCACCGACGTCATTGGTAGCTAATTTCGTGCCGACGACGAACGGTAGTGCCGTAACATTTACCTTCAATAATCAGTTGACAAACCGATTGGTTAGAGAGCACCGGACGCAAACAGGATATGACAATCTGGTTTGTTCATAAATTGTTTTCTTTATCCTTCGATCGCAGCGTTTAACGTTGCGTTAATTGAAATTTAATTTTAAATATTTTGTATAACGAATTTATTTTGTGAATGACAGTGTATACTTTCTTTTAGTATCAAATATACAGCAATAGTAGTCGTCGTGCTACTCAGTACAGTAGCTCGTCTAGCGGATCAAATAGTGGACGAAGTGGAGTGCACGATTTTCCGCATCAATTGGTGCCTAGTCTACTATGTCATCCACCCAGTTATCAGACGATGCCAAGTCCTGCAAAGCACGTAGTTGTTGCCCAAGTAAATGAGACATTGATTTTTATTTTGACTCAATGATCATATATACTCGCGATCGTTTAATCATTCTTCTTCATTTTCATATTCATTGTATAGCCTCCGCAAGCGCAACAAGGTCCGTTACAAATCCAACCATCGATTATATCGCAGCAGGCTGTTGCTGCTGCAGCTGCAGCTGCTCAACAACAGTATGCAGCAGTTCCCGTGTCTATGGTGGAAACTGGGCGACAAATGTTATTAACCGTATGTATCATTAAAACAAACGTCATAATGTTCATGAACGAGTAATTACACGTTTATTCCTGAATTACAGAATGCTGTGCAAACTTCTTGGCCAGGTGGAAGTCGTCAAATGGCTGCTATCGTACCATCTTGGCAGCAGTTGCCACCGCAACATGCAGCCATACAGCAGCCGTTGTTGAGCGATGCTGGAGATTGGGGAAGACCTCTTATCGTCGATAGTTCTGCTATTCTGCAGGTAGACGTTACCACCTTATCCAATAATTACTCTCGATCTCGATAATTAAATCGATCGAACGGTTTTTTAACTAATCTCCCTTGTTTTGGGGAAGGATCAGCGGCCAGTGTTTCCTGTCACGGAAGTATACAATACTAGTGCCCTTGTTGAACATCCTCCTCAAGGTTGGGGCAAGCGTAGTGTTACAAAACATCATCAGCATCATGTGACGGTACCTCAGCAGTCTCAGCACAGGCACGAGCATAAGAAAGAAACGCAACAATTGAGTCCGGTGAAAAAGAGGGTAAAAGAAAGCACACCACCGAGCAACATGAGACGGCATTCACCTTCAAACGGTCATTGGCAACAGCAACCAATGCAGCAACATCATCACAGCAGCAAACACAGCAGTAGTCATAACGTGGAACACCATCAAGTTACATCTGGTCGGCAGCAAACCATTACAATTCACGATACACCATCGCCAGCAGTTTCTGTTATCACGATCAGTGATAGCGAAGACGAAACGCCGGGCAAATGGTGAGTTAGTTTACTTATTTTCGTAGAATATTACAAAGTAGCCTAGAAACTATCGTTCGCAATTGTAAAATTAGAAGAGAAAGCCGTAACGATAACGTTACAGCCAGCCGGGGATATTTTAATTTTCTATTTCATCTTGCTCCGTTAAAAATTTTTTCCATTTTCTTTTTTTTTTTTTTTATAAATTTAAAACTATAATTATACGATGCCTTTCTTGAGATTTATCCGATAAGTTCCATCCATAGATGTTTCCACCGTGGAACATATATATTAGTAATTTATTAGACTAGAAAGTAGTGGAATCATGCATGAATATCATTGACAGCTGTGGAGATCGGCAATGCGGAGCCTGTCAAAATTTGGCAACTCGCCTGTCTGGCGATGGGCGTCCAGTCCGCGAGGAAGTCATTCGAAGGTATATGAATGTAACGTAGTATCACGCAATCACACACCATAGCATTGATTAATGGTTAATAATCGCTAAGAACATGGCGTAACACGACGCTTCCAACCACATCTAAAAATTTAATTCTTTGAAGGCCATTGTCGTATTTCGCATTACCGCACTTGTGAAAATAAGTTGCAGGACTAAAAAATTGCATATAATAAGGGCTATCTAGAAACCCGCGGTTATGGCGCTTGGAGTGTCAATTGTCCCTACTATAGACTAACGAATACTATAACTTACAGCTCTAGCGTTTAATGCCATTTTTTCATGCTCAGTGTTAACGTTATTTTGAATTGTATGGGGATATTCTGTTCTCTGATTGTTTCACGCGCAACTGATCGTGCATATTTTTTACTTTCAGCACACAGTCAACACCACGCGTGGTTCAACCGATGCAACAAACGCATTCGAGTAGTCAGTCACATACTAACGGTCACATATCGGCGCATAGTACGTCTCAAAGAACGCCACGGAAAAATATTATCAGTTGTGTAACTGTCGGTGATAGCGATGGCGAAGCTAGTCCAGGTCGAGCGCATAATCATCTGTACCAACATTTACCGCAACATCAACCTCAGCATCAACAAACTACGCAGTTAATTAAACACGAACCCCAACAACAACATCACGTCAGCAGGTAATTGGATCAACGATTAAAGATATTATAAGGTCATTCGGAACATTTGCATATGACGTCAATACGTTGCTAATTGCAGTAGCAGTTCTGGATATTCGTCTCAATCGCAAAAGAAACGTTTATTGGCCAAAGTACAGTCCGAATGCAATATGGTGAATGTCGCGACGAAACCGGAGCCCGGCGTTGAGTACCTTGCACCACATCCGTGTCACGCGCCAGCCTGTAAAGAGCCACCGACCTATCAGGTTAACTCTTAATTCAAATTACAATCTTCCCTTTCTTCTTCTTCTCCTCTTCGTTTTCCACGCCACTTTTTTTTTTTCGTTTCTCATTTGTCCTTTTTCCCTTCTTTCGCAAGTAAGTTTTAACTGCCAACCGAAAGTTCGTGGGAATATCAAGGAACAATCACGACGATCCTGTTGAATCTGTTGAAACACCTCCCTGAAATGTTTTTCTAGGACGACGCCTATGACATACATGACTACTTCTTGCAGTATGTGACCACGAGTAGCGCGCATCCCCACCTTCAAGAGCAGCATATCGTGTATACGACCGGCACGGACAAGCGGGTATCATGGCCTGGAAAAAGAGCTGAGTACAAACACGAGTACGTTCAACCACCGGCTGCTCATTCCAGAGACCATCAAAAATGGGCGGTAGCGAATACTGTGCATCAGTATAGGTGAGCATAATATCGCATATAATCTCTCACAACCTCACTCGAAGCACGTGACATATCGTGCACATAAATTTAGAAGAACCTAGCCGAACAGATATAGTTAAGCGAGATTTATATATGCATATGTAATTACATCGAACGCATGTAGATTTTTCTCTTTGAATGAGAAATGACCAAACCGATGACAGGCAGCTCGTGTACACGTTGTCGAGACAACAGACTGGCTGCGTATCATGGCCGGGCAAGTAGACAGCATGAATTTTCATTTTATTTCCGAAAAGACCGAGAGTAAAAGCCAATCTGATGAAAGGATCTCGGAACGAATGAATCGACCTCTCTATCTCTCTCTCTCTCTCGTTTGATTCTCTATCGGTTTGGTCTCTGTCCTCTTAGAGGACAGACTTCTTACAGTAAGTAAAGAACGCATGAGAATTGCGTAACCAAGGAATGGATTTTGTTTTGGGTTTTGTAGGCAGAGCCAGGTGGTGGGTTCGGCAGCCCATCCGGGTCATACCCACAGTCATCATGGGCATCCGGCCCACCTCAGTCCTGGGGGCGGCGGCGGGGGCAGAAGTCCTGCAGGGGGGCCTGTAATAGGAAGTGCCCAGCATCTGGGGCAGCCCCTATATCAAGAATACGCTCATGTACGTTCAAGAGCCCATGCCGTGCCACCCCCGGTATACGTAACCGCGGCGCCTTCTCAGGCTCCTACTGCTATCCAGCAGCAACAAGTGCCCACCTATCAGGGATTCACACCCGGGTGGGTACCTAGACACCTAGTTGATGCATGCATGTGTGTACCATTTATTATATTTTCGTTTTAGTGATAGTTCATCGTATATTGTTATACTTTGTGATCGTATCGTAGTAGTTATTGTTGCAATATAATAGTGCGTTCCCGTGCAACCGTTTTATCTCGTTTTCAACATGGCATGTAACGTTGTGAAACGTAACGTTGTGATGTATTTATATAATTCGGTCGGATAATCGATAGTCTTTTCTAAAGAGAGAAAGAAAGAAAAAAAAAAAAGATACGAATGTGTTTTTATTTTTCTTTTTCTTTTTTTTTTTTTTTGGTTTCGTTTTTTACTAGCATTGTTATCTTTTTTTTCTTACCTAAAATGTAAAAGATAATATCATACCATTACGATGGTGCTGTACAGTATGTATTTTATGCTCGAGTGTACACTTGTTTTGTACAAAGTAGACCATTAACTGCCTGCTTAGACAATTGCACAAAGATAAAGAAACGTTTCGTAAGCATAAATGAACGATGTATTTAATGTAAAGAAAGAAGACAAAAAAAAAAGAAAATTGTCGATTACTCGATTCTTTTAAGTGTATGATATATACGTATATATATGTATATATATATAATGTTATCTACTTATAAAACCGTATGCGTGTGGAACGAAGAAATGATCTTTATAAAACAAATGTTTCATTTCCCTTTTTAGAGCATTACGGAGACTTTCTAACGTTCATTATCCCGTTTTTTACAGCTCGTCTCCATTAACGTTGTATGATTCTAGTCGAGCGTTGCCACCACCAGCTCATCACAGCTCGGCCAGACCGTTGCTAGCAAGTCATGCAGCGCATCCACTGCCTGCACATATGCAGCCAACAGCCGTTTATGGATTGGCCCCACTTTCACCGGCCAAACATCAATATCAACCTTCTGGTTTGTGGTTCACCGACTAAATTATTCCTCTGTCTAGTTTCAGAAGAAAGAACAAAAATTATTAAACGGCGTGTGAGCACTAATCCTCGCCGCCTGCCTGCTTTCTTTTTTTTTTTTTTTTTTCCCTCTCTATTTTATTTTATTTTATTTCATTTTTTTTTTTCTTAAACAAAATTTTACAAGATTGAGAAATAACCAGTCGCATCAAAGACAGATGGAACGAAAGGAAAAAGAGAGCTCGTCATCCTTGTCGCATTCATTCTTTGCGAACGTGTTTTTTTACTAGCGAACGAGGGGGACATTTCGCGATACTATTGAAATCGCAGATTAAAACACTAGGCTTAATGTCGTTGCGAAAAGAAGAAAAGTAAATTTCACGACTGAAAAAGACTCGACCGAGTCCCAGGACAAAATCGAAGTCGTTCTTCAACTTAACTTTTTGACAATCCGTCCTTAAACAGCGATATTGCCCCCTTCGAACTGCCTGTCTGTGCTGTCGCGTGGAAAAAAAAAGGGATGTCAGAGATTTATTATGCATAATTTCGATCGAAAGGGGAAGGAAAATGAACATGGCTCCGAGGATTGATAGACTGATCGCGTTTGCGTCGCGTCCTAATACTTTCATTAGCATGCATGATTGTCATACGCTTATCGTGAAACGTATCGTCTTTTTCCTTTCGTTTCCCAGCGAAGTGAATATCGTATTCGAAATGAAAAATAACGAACAAAAAAAAAAAAAAAAAAAAAAAAAAAAAAAAAAGAAAAAGAGGAAAGAGAACGATCGAAAGAAGAAGCTTTTCGATGCTTCTCGTTGCGCAATCGTTTCCTCAGTGAACCATTATCTTGATGATTTCGTAGTCACATTATTCTTCTCAATATTATTTGACAATCCATGTATAATTTTGTCCGACTTAGACAGCGCATATATGTGGCAGTATATATATTATGTATTTGACAAAGTTGTTTTGTATGTTTTCGAACAGAGCGGTAGCGCTGCCGCGCCAAAGGAAAATTTATACAAAAGAGTTTCGTCGTGAACGTTGCCTAGTATTATGCGCAGTTTAAGCAGACAAAATGAAAGATGATCGAGGTCGGTGATTTGGCAAAATTGTTCTGCCAAAATGGTTCAACAGTGAACTAATTATCTTTTATTAAAGTTCAGCGTTAAAAGAAATCAATTTTCTTTGTGAAATAATGACGACCCGTCATATTTTTAATGCTCGTTAAGAAAGTTAATCTTAACGCGGCTAAAATCCAACGGCTATTGGCCAACGAAATTTTCGTTGGACCTGAGATTTTTGTTATCGAGCGTGTGACAACGCCTCGACGTATTTTAAAAGCGTTTTCTTTCAAACGGGCTATCAATGAGGATTCCCGTTCTTTATATCTTATAATTCAAAAGGAGCTGATCAATTACACACGTACACACACAATCATAACACGACACATTGATTTCTTATAAAATGTGTTCTGAGTTTTGTCGTTGGATTTATTTCACGATGTGTTGTAGGTATGTTGATGTAATTCCAATGTAAGTAGTCCTCTCTCGGAGGATGTAGCAAAGTGTGTTTGGGTTTATAATCGATTTCTTCTATTTCGATTTTGTTTGGAACATGTTTGTAAATATGTTTGATCGTATGGTGAAACTTGTATTTGACAAATGCTGCGCCTCCTCGCAGCAGCTTCATTATTTATTTTTATTGTACAATTACTCTTTATTTTCTTCGTCATAACTATTACTATTACTATTGTCATTACTATTGCTATCATTACTATTATTAATTGCAATTAGGCATCACTGATAGATATTTGCACTAACAGTTCGTAGTTTCTTTTTCGTAGGTAACCACGTTCGCGTTAGAATTTGCATTAGGTTCGTTTTAAATGAGATTTCGTTGCACTCGCAACATTCTTGAGCGATTCAGCATTAAACTTCTTTCTCTTCTCGTCTGTTGCGTTTCAATGTTTTGCATTTTACCGAGGATTATTAGTTAAAGGAATGTACGTGTCGACGTACGTTGCACAAATCTGCGGTACACAACGATTAGCACGGACAACAAGGGGAGATGTGTGTGTAACAATACGCGAGAATTTGCGTAGGGTGAGAAAGAAACGAAACGAAATACATGCATATTCGATTATCATCGCGATCTTAGCTGTTTCGTCGGAGAAGAAGCCTTCGTTTGCAAATATTTGTTAATAATGTCAGACTGCACACATTTCCTTTTTCCTTCAGCGTACATTCGATTCCTCTTGTTATGATGAGAACGCCAATGGAGCAAACGGTGTTTAGCTTTATCCACTTTCGTTTCTTCACCTTCGTCGGATCATGTTCTTCCTTCTCGCACTTTTTTTCACGTCAGTATAAAGAAAGCAATTTCTAATATCTCATTAAGGGAAAAGAAGAAAAAAAAGCTATATATATACATATATACATATACGGTATATAATTGCAATTCTTCGAACACATAGCATTCGATGTACATGTGCATGCCCAGGATGTCGATTTGTACATAATAATATCGCGAGTGGTTCTCTTCCTACATTTTAAATGTTCGAACAGCTATTAAGAGTGGATTTGTACACATAATTTTACAATTCGCGAAATACTTTTTTAAAAAAAAAAAAGTGGTTTTTCTGCGTGCTGACGTGTATCCTGTGGTTTTTAATGGAATGACGCTTAGGCATTGTTTTGCTAATTATTTTATATACATAGCTGTACGATAACATACGAGACATTAGCTGTGGTACGTCGATTAGAGTGAACCATGTCCAGAGTTTAACTAGAAATATTTTACACTTAGAGCGAGAATGTGAGTAATCGAACGCGATTAGCATGATTGATAGAGAAAGAGGAAGAGAACGAGAGAATGGTGAAAATGACATTTTAGATATGTTACCGATGTCATGAGATGAAGTTTTTCAATATCCTGCTGATTTATTCATTTCGATATTTTACTTATTATGTCGGGGGCACTTATCGTAAAAAAAAAAAGAAAATCTGTAAGGGCACTTATTGTAAAAAAAAAATACTTTTTTTTTTTTTTTTTTTTTTCGTGGAACGTCTATTCAAATATCTGTTTATTATGTGTATCACGTTTATCGAATTGGCTTCGTTGGCTTTCTTTACGCGTATTGTGCGATGTAAAAAATTAAAAAGAAAATTAATCACGTAACCAAGTCGATGTGCCTGTTCAACGATTAATCGTATTTACATTTATATTTACTGCAAAACCGAGTAAACCCGTAAATATGTCTATAATAAATATGTGTATAGTGTTAACGTATTGAGTCGGCCACATCCGGTACGAACATACATTTATAGTTATACGAAATACGTTTGCACGCCTACATGTACATATATATATATATGCTTCCGTATAAATGGTAGAAATTATATCGCATAGAGTGGAAACTTATCTTTTCTTCTCGGAAATCGTGAGGAAACAAGAGTCATATCCTTAGATTTTTCGTATTCTATGTAGAAAAAGGGAGAATAGGAAGAAAAAAAAAAAAAACTGTTGTCGCGCCTGTATGTATAGACACATTTTTTTGTTTTCTTCGTAGAAATCGATATATGCACAAACACACACGTAGGTGATGTGCACGCAACAGTTTTACACATGGTAGTCATACCTACATTTTTTTTTTTTTTTTTTTTTTTTTTTTTTTTTTTTTTTTTTTTTTTTTTTTTTTTTTTTTTTTTTTTTTTTTTTTTTTT